CAATTTAAAACCTAGTTTTGGCCAGACAGAGTATTAGGACAATTATCTGTATAATCCATCCAAGGAAAATGTACGCATCTGCTGGCCCTGAAATCACTTGTTTAAAAAAAGTCTTGAAAGCAATTATTTTAGTAATTCTAGATTTAGCTGGAATAGTCCCAGGAATTGCCTCAAACTATGGTTCCTGTAGCTCAATGGTTCTCAACCTGGGGTGATTGTGCTCAGGTGATTTGATGATTTGGTGATTCTGGAGACCTTTTTGGCTGTCAGAACTGAGGGTGGGGCATAGAAGAGGATGCTACTGACCTCTAGTGGGTAGAGGCCAGGGATGCTCTACATGTCCATCCGATGCCCAGGACAGCCCCCTCTCTGCTGTAACACTATTTGGTCCAAAATGTCAACGAGGGGCTGGGGTTGTAGCTCAGTGGTAGAGCGCTTGCCTGGCATGGGCGAGGCACTGGGTTTGATCCTTAGCACCACATAAAAACAAGTAAATAAAATAAAGGTTAAATTTTAAAAAAAATGTCAATGGGGCTGAGACTGAGAAGCCCAGCTTTAGCCAACGATACTTTATACAGTATGAAGTGAGATCCCTTGTTTGGAAAAGTCAGACTAAAATGAAAGAAAATGCTTAATTGTAAAGAATATTTTAAGACAGAAATACCCATAACCCTACTTTCTTCATTCTGTTTAGTATCTAGCCTTCAACTTCTGCCCAATGAATATAGATTTATAAGATTGAATTCTGGTGTAAATACAAGTTTATATTCTTGTTTACAATTAAAGATGTCACTTTCTGAGTCTTTGTTTTACTTTAATAGAGACTAGTCCAGTGTGATAAAATCTATAAACTATCCTCTCTTTGTTTCTTTCCTTTTTTAAAAAAGGAACTTGGGTAAAAGCCAGTTCTCCAGTATGAAATCTGGCTTTGGAGACTTGGCCATAGATTACTCTCAAGTGATTTTACAACAAAAACTATTTTTCAAGAAATAAGTACTTGCAGAACATGTTAGAAACTGTGCCAGTGTAAATATTTCCTCCAAGAAACAGTTACTACTTTAGAGAAACACTATTTACATGTTTGTAATTTAAAAAAAGAAACCCACATTTCTTCTCAGACTGCAGAAGGGTGACTCTGTGGCCTGGCTTCAGCAGAGTCACAGCATGGGACCCAGGCTCCTTCAGGGCTAGGCCTGTGGCCTCTGGTCCGAGAGGAACCTACCTAGTCTGGGCTGATGAAGCCTACAAGCATCATCAAAAGCTGAGAGTAGTCTTGCTCAACAGATCAGGCTGTAAAAGACAAAAACACCAAAGCTCATGCAGATGGAGATAAATATAGCCATTTTTAATAATGATGACTGAGGAAATGTTTATATTTTAACAGATATGGGAACCGTTGGAATGGACTCTCCAGTCCTGCCTGAAACGCTCAACGTATCCCAGTGTTACCTGAGGTCCTCCTGCCCTCCAAAGTCCAGAGAGTACCACTGCCTAGACCACCCCCTCCCCATTCTACTTTCTAAGATTCTTACAAATTTCTTGAGAGTTATGGCTCTGAGCCCTTATTTCTGTGAATTAATTCAGTTGATGGAAAATGCTACCACTCCGCATTTTTTTGCCCTATACTATACCTACCCAGAAAAAAAAACTCACCTCCTAATTCAATCCTCAGCCCCTGACTCAACGCAGACACCCCCAGGCTCACCTTGTCCATAGAGCACTCGCTTAGCACGTGTGAGGCACTGGGTTCAACTCTCTGCACCACAGATAAATAAATAAAATAAAGGACCATTGACAACTAAAAAACGTATTTTAAAAATAAAAAGAGCAATGAGGGCATAAAGGCCACACAGATGACCTGGAGGCTCCTAGTCGGTGCAGCAGTTATTCAGAGGCTCTTGACCACCGCGGCCCTGGGGGCTGGCATGGCGGTCATCCTCATTCCTGGCCTTTCATCTCGCTTCCCGCCCCCTTCCTCCCAGGGCTCTCCAAGTTTCATACTAAATTACACAGAGGTACATCTGCTCTTTGGGGTCTCTACTCCTAAAATCAATTCCAGATCTCCTTTATGTCTTTTTTTTTTTTAATTTTTTAATTTAAGTGGGCCTACAATTTTAGAAAGTAGTTGTTATTGTTAACATCAGTTTATTTTCCTGTTGTACATCTGTTTTAATTAGAGGAGCCGTTCCTGGAGTGCAAGCCTGGATGTATTCTCAGCCACATCCATATATCTAGTCAAAGAGCAGCCGCTTGACTCCATGGCAGAGCCCGGTCCTGGACTCAGGGCAGTTTGGCCTGCGGCCTTCGGCCCTGGTTCCTTGTCCTTGGGCCTTGCAGCCCTCCATTGTTCCTGGCCTTCGAGGGCTTCCTTCCATCCATCGCCCACATGGGCAGCCTCATTTTCCAGTCTCTCATCTGGTCTCTCTTGTACCCAGCCTGCGTTTGCAGAATGTGCCTGAGCATAGAGGCCATAGTTGACATCTCCGGGACTCCGGGAGAGGCGACTCTGAGATGGCTGCTTCTGTTTTTATTTTGCTGGCTACTTTTTGTCTCCAGATGGTAGTGATGGTAGTCCCTTTAATCCCCAGTGCCTCCTGGGAGGTGGGTTTCCCCAAATTTGTTGTCCCACAAATCCTTTCATTCATTGCCTGCTCTGTGCTGAGAGGTGGGGAAGGAAGGTGCTTGCCCTCCAGGACTCATTATGAGTTGGGGGGAACGGTGTCAAATATTTTAGTGCTGAAAGTACGTTGGGTTTCAGAACTGGGGTCAGATGCTGTAGACAGAAACGGTGAGACTTTTTCCTTTTTCTCTAAAGGCGTTTTCTTCCTCTCCTCAGCACATCACCACCTCTACCCACCAGCCACATCTGTTCCTCGTCACACAGCACTTTGAGTGTGGGTGCTGTGAAATCTTCCTTCTTCCAAATAATTCTGCCTGTTAAAAAAAAAAAAGGAAGAAGAAGAAGAAGTATATTTTAGCTTTAAAAATTACAGCTCTGGATCTTGAATTTCCTCTTTACTCTCACAAAATGACCAGATCTGCTCATATTTGAAGAAGAGTCGGGAGGCATCGATTATTTTACCCTGTCTCGTACATATAGATAGGATGCCCCTCCTTTTATTATGTGAATAATATAATGAGTGGACTCACCCCTCTTAGCACCTCTTGGTTATACTATAAACATTTTATGATGGGAAGTCTCCGCAAAGACAGGGAAAAAAAATTGGGGGAAGTTAATATAATGACAGCAAAGGTTATTTACTGTGAAAATTAAGCAAAAGGATTCCTTTCTCTGTTAGCATTCAGCATCTCAATAGGTGAATAAAAATATACACAAAAATATTATCAGAAGCAGTTTATTATAAATGTTACTTTGCTAGGTTATTCACTTTACTCACCCTCTGAGATTTCTAGTTCCCCCAGACTGTCAGAGTGGGAAGAGAGAAGACCATTTATCTAATCCAATTCCTTGGGAAGAAATGCTTAGGCAATATTAAGAATCTTCAATTATCTAATTTTATAAAAGAGATGATTTATATTCTGTAGTCAGTAACGTGTGATACTGATTATTTCTAATCCCTTAGAAGAGATCTGACATTGTGCTTTTGGTGCTATACAGCATGAAATCGTCATGTATATTTCACCAAAGAAGTAACAAGAATAATGGCCTCTGCAGTCTGCAGTCATTTTCGACTTACACACTGCAACATGGTTTTGCCCTGGGGCAGGGAAGTGGGGATTTTTCTCTACTTCAAAAGAATGAAAAATTATCATCACTCTATCCAGAACCATTATAGACTTCAGAGAGTTTGGCATGAAATATTCAGAAAGTTTATTTTAGAATTCAATATTTTAAAAGTCTGCTTTAAAACTATTACAGTGATTAGTGGCTCTCTGGCTTGGGCCAGTCTTTCCTCTAAAATGTCCTGTGTCATGGTTGATACTGTTTGTTTTTTCAACAAAATATAATCTGCCTAAACCACAGAAGGCATGTAAGGCATTAGTTCAGAACACCCCCCAAAAGGGGCTACGACCACCACTCAATTATCCTTTCAAACACACTTGGTAACGAAGTTCTTCTGTTGGTAACAGTTTGGCTGTGTTACTTATGCTGTGATTTTGTCCCTCTGACCTGCGTTCTTAACCATGAGGAGTGGGCATTGTTCTCCACCTGCGGTTCAGGGAGCCAGGCCCCTGTGTCAGCAGGCCCAACCCCACTGAGGCCACACACACCCTCAGTCAACCAACCAGAGGTGCCCTTCATCGTCCCTCTTCATAGGAGTCAGAGACGCTTATGAGGTGTTCAGGGATTGACAGTGTTTCCCTGGCCATGACTGGAGCCCTGGAGGTGTGGTCAGCTGTGCTGGAAACTTCTCCCCGGGATGATGTAGGAAAGCCATGGGCATAGAAGATGGAGCCTGGCTTTAAGTTTGAGTTCCAGTGCTGCTGCTTCCTGGGAGGGTGATCCTGAGAAAGCTGGAGAGCCTCCTGAAGGCTCAGTGTGTCCTTCTGTTAATGGACCCGTCTCGGCTTTGGAGCAGATTGATTGAGTCACGTGAGGTGCAGGCCATGCTCTACGGGATGTCCGTCTCTGTTCCTGTCCTGTTGGTGCCCAATGTCTTCCTTATCTCTTATTTGTTTGGCCCACTGTCTATTATAATGCATGTATTTTTTTCTGTATATCATAGAAAAGTCTGTGCAGGACAACTAGAAAAGCAGTTGTTCCTCCTTTTCTTGTATAACCTGTACATTTGGCTTCGTTCCTTTAAATAGTTCGAATATATTATTTCTGTAGGTTTTAATAAATACCTTTTCTTTCATCCCCACCTTAGGTATTATCAATGTAAGAAAAAACACATAGACATCAATCTTAGCCTTCATGTAGATGAAATAGGTTCCTTTCTCATACAGGCACACAAAGAAAGGAAGGTTCTAATGTACTCTTGATACGTAGGTGTGAGGCGAATACTGTGTAAATATCTTTGCGTTTCATTTTCCAGGGAAGTAGATCAAGACTCAGATGGTCTCGTCAGCTTTAGAGACTTCGAATATGCTATGAAGAATGGACAAAATGAAGCCCAGCCGTCGAGATCTACTTTTGGCAATTCCGGGGAGAGCGGTAAATTGTAATATATTTAAAGGTCAAACAGACCTTGCCCTCGTGACTTTGTGATCTGCATACTTGTGATTAAACTCTTAATCATAGTTTCTGGATGCTGATAATATACTTGGGCTTGGAATCCCAGAGGTGGTGGTGTGTACCAATCTCCCTCCGTGTGGCTAGCAGCCCTGAGTCAAGTGCCGCTGCTGACCCTGCCACTCGGCCATCCCCCACCTCTCTTGACACTCCACACTGCAGGTTGCAATGCTCCACTCCCTTGGCCATGCACCACCGCAGGTCCCTGGTTCCCATCAGCTCCCAAGGTCTGGCAAGGGGCAGCTTTTCCCACCAATGGTGCCAGTTGCCTTCATTCATTCCACTTTGATTGAATGAACAATAGTATCGAAGTGTCCCACTTGCCTACTGTGTTCCAAGCACTGAGCGAGGCATTATGGAAACAAAGAGGTAAGGCTTCTCTAAGTTCACGTACCCAGAGTCCAGATCCACACTGCACTGGTGCTGGCTGTGCAAGACAAACCAGGTGGGCTTCCACAAGGTGGCCCTGTCCACGTCATACACGGGAGAACAGCACGCACTAGGGGTCCTGGGGACACAGATGTGTTTGTAGAAGCTCTTTGGGTTGCCTGAGCCTGGGCTTCCTGATACACAGAAGCAAAATCTGGGCTGCCCAGTTGCCCCTGGTACAGACTTCTGGTTCCGGTGATGCTGCCCTGCACCAGAGCCTTGGCCAGCTGGGCTCACAGTCTCCATGGTCTCCCATCCCCCTGGGCTCCAGGGATGCCATCCTGGAGCAAAAACTGCACCACTGGACATACAGCATTTATTAAAATAATTCAAAAATAATGGTATCAATACTAATATTTTATTTGTTCCTAGAATTCACTACAATAATATTTGTAAAACAATTCATATTTTTTAAAATAATTAATATTTTTAAAGTATTAAATAATTAAAGGCAAAGTAAAATGTAGATTTTTAAAACAAAAACATTAAACAAGTTTCATTCTTATACAATTATTTGCAGATAACTTTAATAAAGTTTTAAAATTGTGATAATCCCGAGATGCCTAAGGAAGCCTACAGCTAAGGGTTGTTTGATATTCTGCATGGGGTCCTGGAATGGAAACAAGGACATTAGGTAAAAGCAAATCAAGTGTGGACTTCAGCTACTATTAATGTATTGACATTGGTTCATTAGTAGTGACAAATGTATCAAACTCATATAAAATATTAATAATGGGAAACTGGGTGAGGGGTGTATGAGATCTCTGTACCATTTTCTCGGTTTTTCTATGAATCAAAAACTATTCCAAAACTGAATTTTGTTTAAAAAAATAAAGACTTATTCAAAAATTAATAAACCAAACTTTACCTAAAATGAGGAAACATTGAAAATCATTAAGCAGTACAAATGAAATATTATTTCAAAAATAAAATGGATCAATGGTATCACTGAGTACCATGTATGTTTTGTACAAATTGTCCCAATTGATAAGAAACTCTTTTTGACTTCGGGTAGAGTTTTATTCAGGTATTTTCATTATAAATTTAATAATTGAGTAATTGATCCTGACCTCACAACATGAATTATAAAGATTTTAGATTTCTAAAATAGGAAAAAGTTCAAAACACTAGCAAAGTGCCATTATTTCATTAATTGCCAGAATTCCAAAACCTTGTACTGTAGGCACTCTTTGGACCTCATTTTTTTAGAACACATGACAAGAGAAAGGGAGGGATCCATCCTACAGTGGCTGTGGGAGGCAAGAGACAGGTTGGGAAAAGCTCTTGGACAACTCCCTTGACCCTGGACTAACAAAGACTCCTCTTTTTGTCTCAATGACAGAAAACTACCCAAACTAGCTTAGACTATAAGGGAGTTTGCTAGAGAACGCTGGGCTAGCATATGGAATCTAACAGGAACATGAGAGGATACACCTGGGTTTCCAGGATAACCAGACCCAACTTCACCCACACCTCCAGACCCTGCCATAGTTCCTGACAGCCTCCCACCATTCTAGAAAGGAATCAGCCCATGATCCATCCATCCAATTCTAAGTCCAGAGACCTCAGAAAGAAGCTCTGGTGGCTCCCTGCATCCATCAGTTCTGGTTCACACAGAGGTTATGGACATGGCCAGTGGGGATTCAGCAGGTATACCCAGGGCTGGTCATAAGAGAGGGGCAGCTGGTAATATCTGGGCAGCCATTCTGTTTTCTTTCTCAGGGAAAAACAATATAACTGAGGCCTCATCCAGGAAGGAGAACACCTCTTGGATTTGCTCCTTATGAGGATCCAGGCTCTCAGAGCAAAGTCACAAAGAAAGAGGGAGAATGAGAATCTGCTCATGTCCCCTTCCTCTCCTTATCGCTTGTCCTAGGCCCAAATCACATCATCATCCAGTAAGCTTGTTCTCCCAGTATCCCAGTCTCTGTATCCTCGATTCACATGATCCTGCCTGTGCCATGTGACATTATTGGTCTGACCTCAGTTGATGGCCCAAGGGTGGGCATCTATTCTAGCTGGTCACTCAGTCTGTGCCCTTGGAGGACCTGGAGAGTGGGCGTGAGTGAGCCAGCGGGGTCCCTGGAGGCTGAGTGGGGAGTGTGGCTCAGGAGCGAGTGGCAGTGTTTCTACCACGCGGCCTGGGAAACAAAGGCGGCTGTTTTGCAACAAGAACAAAGGAAAAAAAGTAGACACCAAGATGGGAGCAAAGGAAGAAAAGAGAGCAGCCCTTGGTGCCTGGTTTCTGGTTAAACTTGTGTACAAGGTCGAGTCGTAACCTTTTGGGTCCTCTGAGGTAACCCTGTATCCTTCCAATCAATTTTTCTGCTCAGCCAGCTGGAGTTTCTTTCTGTTATTTGAAACCAAGAGAACCCTCAGTGTGGTGAGCATGGAGCCAAGGGCAGAGTCCTAGGTGACATTAACATTAAGGGGTAGCAGAGAAAAACCTTCTAAGGAGGCTCAGAAGGAGCAGAGACAGCTGACTTCCCTCTCCCAACCGTGCCTCTGCTTGACCTCACTGCAACTGGTCCCAGTCTTCCCTGTCACAACAGCCCTCAGGGAGGTCACCAGTGAGCTACTGATGGCCAAAACCCTTCTGCCCTTTTGAACCTCATTGCACAATCCCTTCCTGAGCTGATAACTGCACCTCTGGAATCCACTTTGGCCTCCCTGACAGGGTCTCTCGTGGTACTACTGTACCCAGGTTTTTCCTAACATCTTTTCTAGCTTCCTGCCCTACAACCATTTCATAAGCAGGTCCAAGGTCCTGGGATTGGCCAATCTTCTTGAGCAATACATCCTCCGAGGATGGTTTCATCCACTGCCAAGATTTCAGTTGTATGACTCGCAGCAAATCCTATCTCTGATCTTTACCCCTGCTCAGCTCCAGACCCATGTTTTCATTTGCCCATTGGACATTTCCACCTCACTGAACTAAAATCAGACGCGTTGTTCCCCTCATTTTCAAAATTGGTTTCCTATTGCGTGTTTTCTATTTCTGTTAATGGCAACCTCCCTGTGCTGATTCCCACCCCACTGTCACCGAAGCCAGCTGTCTCAGTGTCTTTTCAGATCTCCCCCATCTTCCTTAGCCCTGACATCCCTCCTGTCATGAATCCTTCTGAGCTTGTCTCAGTAAAACTTTCATGAAACCTTTTTCCATTCCATCCTGGTCTTTCTGCCCATGTTCTTATTCCCCATCCTACCCTTCCACGCAGTCATTCATTCTATTTATTCACAGAAAGACAAGTAAAAGATGAACAGAAGTAAGAAGCAGACCCTGCTGTCAAGAAATCTTAGTCTAGCGTGTCACTGATGTTCCCAAAGCACAGACAAAATCACTTTTTCTCTGCTCAAAAGCTCTCAGTGGCCACCTCTTCTATTGGATAATGTCTAAACCTGCAGCCTGCTGTTCAAAGCTGCCTGTAATGTGGTATCAATTTATATTTTCAGTTTCACTGTTCACAGCTACCTTTGCCGTACCATCCCATGACCATTTGTGGCATGGGGAAAATGCACATACCCACAGTCCATTCACCTCAAGTCACCCTAAGGTAGCAGATTTTTTCCCAAAATAAAAAAATAATAATAATAACATTCTTAGAATGGATATCTGATAATAATAAAATGCAACTATTAAAGACTTACTTGAAAAAGCATATTGAAGCACCTTCATCTTAGCGTTCCTTTCCTACACAGCTGCCACTTTGTCAGTGGACAAGAAGAACTAAATATGCTGGGTATTTTGTGCATTCTGCTTATCTTGAAACTGTTGAGATAGATATTAGCCATTCTTGTTTATGAATGAGGAGGCAGTCTCTCAGTCTAAGGAACTTGACTCTGGGCAAGCGATGGGGATGCATAAACAATGTCAGGGTGGTGACTCAAACTTGGCTAAAAACGGACCTTTCCTTCTTGTCCATGTATAGATATTAAAAATTAATTCACATCTTATGCATCACCAAAAACTAACCAAAATTACATTGGATGATTAATGGAACTTCAAAAGACAAAGATTGACATGTGCTGCAGGCTCTAAAAGCACTATTCAAAGAGAATGAGTTCCAGAAAAGCTCTGAACAATGGCAGCATCTTTGAATAGGTATGCATCTCACTGGGTAACACTCAGGTCTACAAATTCAGTATGGTGTAGCTCTACTTGACATGCACACTGTACTCACAGACTTGTGATTTAGGATTAATCAAAACAATTTGTTGCTTTCCTTTTTCTTTGCTTGTAACTTTTGAGAGATTTGTTTGGAACTTGCAGTATTAGGCAGTTAAAAATAAAAACCACACGTGCACACACAGAGAGATTGGAATTCAGTGGCCTTAGAGGTAGCACCTCACAAAGTGACCTTTCTTACAAAACAAATTTAAAACAGATTGGTCATATGCATTGAAAAGTAGCCTGTACAGTTTAACACATGAAATATGGAGTGCCCAATCTAAATTCCTCTTAGATTACATTGATAAAAGACTCAGGAATGTGAATAATAAAGAACACTGTTCTAACCTCAGAGAAAATGCAGATTAATTTATATGAAAACACAAGCTGAAATTCAAATATAATCCCTAT